GAGGAGATCCCAGAATTGTAGGATCGACGGAGATCGACGTCAGAGAACCCGGCTCTCCGGTCCCTCGCTCCAGACCAGCGCGCGAGAGATGACTTCCCTGTTATGCGACTCTACGACACTGGGAGAGAGTGACGACGCCACGGCGAAGGAAGAGACAGAAGACGATACGAACTTAGGAGACTAGAGCAGCCGTCGCAGAGAGATGACGATGATCGTTACGACGAAGGAGCGCGCTGGAGGACTTGACGACCGACGAAGCAGTATGAGTTACCGAAGCTCAGCGAGAGGCGTCGGCCAGAGAAGAAGAGAGCGATGACCGAGATGTAAAGCAAGCAGAGGATGAGCGGAATGAGACAGATACATGAGAAATTAGGCATGACAGACAGACAGACAGTGGAGTGAGGACTAGCGGTAGATAAGGGTATGATGAGAAGATATTCGTGTAACCAAATCGAGATAGTAGTGAGAACGAATGAAATCCGATTAACCCTCGCGAATACGAGGGACGAGGTGACCGGAGAGAGATAAGGACGATCCAGGAACGACTGATGAGAGATTGAGAGAACGGGACCCGAAGCAGGATGACGATGAGGACCGATGAGATGGAGAGATACAGAGAAAATGACGAGAGACCAGTGACAGACAGACAGCATCTAAGCCACGAGACAGGACAGAAGACAGATAGAACAGCAGACAGACAGACAGACAGACTTATGGACAGACAGAGAGAGTGATGAGATTGAGAGATGAGAGAGATCCGGAGACGGAGACTTTGCGACCGAGAGATCAGAGACGAGATGAGGATGAGAGAGAGACCGGAGAGAGACTGACGAGGATGAACGGCAGAGGAAAGTGTCCCTGGAGAGAGAGACTACGAGGAGACGAGAGAAAGAGAGGCGACCTACAGGAGAGAGAGCAGTCCGAGATAAGATGATCTAAAGATGCAGAGAGAAGGAAGGAGAGAGCTTCGTCCGTAATCGATAAAAATAGGGCGACTGGTACAACAGGTTCGTGATATCGATGATGTGGTTATTCAGTGCTGACTCTTTGGTGTTCACCAGTCACTACTAGTAAGCGCTTCCCACAAGCATCCGTGAAAACTCAGAAATGTGAGAAGGGTGGCGATAGTCCCGATAGTTCTAGAAACGTTCTTCGAGTCACAACAATTCAAGGTTACAGAAAAATTGCTCCTCATATCGGACAGAACGTAATTTTCGGCTTCCACAAAAGTCAACTCTAGATTCAAGTTCCTGACACTGAGCACAGTAGTGACCACACCCCTTACCACACTAGTGATCAACACCCCTTGACCACACTTAGTGAACACACCACTGACCACACCTGACAACACTAGTGGACCCACACCCCTGACCACACTAGTGACCACCCCTTACCACACTAGTGCCCACACCCCTGACAACATTAGTGACCACACCACTGACCACACCCCTGACAACACTAGTGACCACACCCCTGACAACATTAGTGCATGACCACACCCCTTACCACACTAGTGAACACACTAGTGACCACACCCCTGACAACATTAGTGACCATGCACACCCCTGACAACATTAGTGACCACACCCCTTACCACACTGTACTAGTGATCACACCCCTTACCACACTAGTGACCACACCACTGACCACACTAGTGACCAAACAAGTGACCACACTAGTGACCAAACAAGTGACCACACCCCTGACCATGCACACTAGTGACCACACTAGTGACCAAACTCCTGACCACATTAGTGACCACACCCCTGACCACACTAGTGACCACATTAGTGACCACATCATTGATGATATATATACTATAGTGACCACACCAGTGACCACACAATTAGTGACCACATCCTTGAAGATATATATACTATAGTGACCAAACAAAGCTAACCAGCACCGTAACCACATTATAGCGACCACACAGGGCCGTATGCAGCAGGGGGGCAGCAGGGGCAGTTGCCCCCCTAGAGCCTAGTATGCCTTTTAATGGGACAAATACTGTACACTTTTAGAAATAAAATAGAAATGTGACAAAAGGTTATCTTAAATCATCAAAGAAATATTACACTTTAAATAAAGAAATGTGAAATTGCGAAACGTTAGGGCACAGGGGGCATGGGGAGTACCTTTGCCCCCCTACAGAAAATTTCCTGCGTACGACCTTGTGACCACACGCCTGACCACACCACTGACCACACTAATGACCACACTGCCAGCTGCCAAACGTCCAACTGCCAACGTCACCACATTGAATATGTAAAGTGGAGACACGGGAAACAAGGCTTTTTTCGGCCAACTGGCAATGAATGCATTCCGTAGACCAGGAACACACTTACTATGATAACATTAGACTACGATCCAAAACCATCAGCACTCAAAGCACAAATACCCTTGTAACTGTACTTGGATACATGCACACTCTGCTACAGCCCCATTGTCACATTGTGAGTGTAGCGGGCGGTCTGCGCACCGTATAAACTCACTCAACTCAACAAACAGCAACGGTGGCCAAGGCCGGCCGTTACAGTAGTATATGACACCCCCTGATGTGACTAACGCCTTTACACACATGCCATTACACATCACCGGGGAGTGGCCGGCCACCACCGCTGACAAGTCCTTACGCATTAGGAGGGCGTGTCGGGGGGCACTAGCGGACGTGCACGGGCGCGTCGCACCGCATACCACGGAGGTCGCATGCTCAGCAGCCACAGATCCCCCACAGATAGTCACCGCGTCGACAATAGACAGACGAACGTTTCACTTGTTCTAATTCCCTACGCCCCCGAGGGAATTACGCCCTCGAGCAAGTTCTAAATACACGCTGCGATATGACCCACTTAATTTTACATCTTATAATTATATATATATATATATATATAATATATACGATTCATTTCAGAGGCCGCGAAATCGTACGCGTGCGATCGGCTGCGCGATGCGTTGCCACTCACGCGAGTTGAGACAAATCGCGATCAATTCTTTTCGATCGAAGCCGATGTCTGCACCCGGATATAGCACGAGCCTCTAGATGAAAGAGGAAACCGCCGCATGCGGGGCAGCAGCGGGGAGCGGAAAAAGAAACTCGTCGCTAGTAAAAAATAAAAGCGGCGCCACCACGCAGACGATATATAGGTGCGCAGTGTGAAGGTTTAACAACAGCACGTGCTTGCAACGAGAGGCTGAAGCGGATCGGACGAATGAATAATTCAATGAATGAATTTCTCTCGTGACGTACGAGCGAGCTCGAGTGCGACATCCTAGGACATAACTCAACTTGCCATTTTCCTGGGCGAACTTGGGAAAACATTTGTGTACACGCGCACACGCACCCACACGCGCGGGCGCACGCACGCACGCACGCACGCACGCACACACACACACACACACACACACACACGCACGCACGCACGCACACACACACACACTGATTTACTGTCAGACTCCCTGATTTGACATATGCAGCAGTCCGTACGTGTGACTCCCTGAAAATTCTGCCATACCAACTAGTTCGTTCCAGAGCACGGCCTCGCGGAATTACCGTATTTTTTCAGCTAATATCCAAAGAAAATTTGGCAGGCGTGCAGCCGCATGATTCTTAAAAATAAGCACATGCATTATTGTTAATATCCTTAATTTTGAACCTCAGACTGCGGACTCCCTCATTTTGCCACGGACTCCCTGTTTTTGAGGGTAGGGAGTCCATTGGACTCCCATGTTCAAAAGTTAATTTCTACCCCTGCACATCACATTTTTGCTTGCAGACAACCTACCACAACGAAAGCATGCCTTATGCCACGTTTTTCCTAGGGCGAGCTTCTGTTCAGCAAAGTACACCTCCTTGTCACATTTTGGACACTTTGGCATGATGACAGACTTGCTTTCACCGTCACACTATAACTTCACAAGACCTGAAATCAGAAATGTGAGAAGGGTTAGCTAATTTCTTTCGAGTCACAACATCAAGGTTACAGAAAAATTGCTCCTCATATCGACAGAACGTAATTTTCGCTTCCACAAAAGTCCTAACTCTAGATTCGAAGTTCCTGACACTGACACAGTAGTGACCACACCCCTTACCACACTAGTGATCACACCCCTGACCACACTAGTGAACACACCACTGACCACACCCCTGACAACACTAGTGACCACACCCCTGACCACACTAGTGACCACCCCTTACCACACTAGTGCCCACACCCCTGACA